TAGACAAAAAAGCTTGGCAGAGGGTCTATGCCTTTCCCATTCTATCCAAAGCTAAAACCAAAGGGTTTTTTTTTTAGGCTTTAACTGCCTCCGGGCCGGCCGAAGTAGAAAAACGGCCGGCCCGGAGCTCTCTATGCAATTTCCAGGGGGGGGGGGGAGGGGAAAAAAATTGGCTTTACTGTCACTTTAACTTATACCAAAGGGACACTTGTCCTTTAAGTCTTTTCTTAAAAATAGCTCTTTTATTCAATCCATGTAATGACAGTGCGGCATAAGAAATATCTTCAGAATATAAGCAGAAATGTTTCAAGCTGTACACAGCTCTTTCCAAAGCCTGGAGTGACTAGCGATTTTGTTTTTAAAAGACTTGATTGAAGCCCTCGCTGCAGATTACTTTGTTGGAGCACAACAATAATACTATACTTAAAGATTCAGAAAACCGTAGGAAACTATGATTTGGAAACAAGCCGAATGAAACAGACGGCATACCGTTTCTGAATTAAGCTATCTAGGCTGACCAAAAGAAAATGTGAAACCTTAAGCTGGAAATATACGCTGCCTGGCCTAAAACCTGGATTTAGCTAAGCAAGGGGTGGCTTCAGTTGGTCAGGTCTAGGTTCAGCAACGTCATGCGCCCAAAAAATGAGGTCAGCTGCCGACCTGAATATACTGATCAGGTTCTTCCACCAATGGATTTTGTTCCCTCCCTGATGGCACATTGGGCATATTCCAAGGTGACGATGCCAGGATGCGAATTTCTCCACAGCTTACATGTTGTGGGATTGTGTGGCAATCCCACGGTAGAACTGGGGGTTGTAGTCACCCAGGACTCTCAGCTAGAGGGGCTGAGCGGTTCCAGGAAACAAATTCTTTTGCTGGGAAAGAACTGGCTTTGCAGTTCTCTCCGGGTTTTCTGGATTTGGCACGGGATCCTGGAACTGGGAGATTTTCTAAGAGACTTGGGAGGGATGAAATCTCCATTCCTGGGTCCATTGTTTAGTAGTGGCCAGCACCTAATTGCACACCTATGGAAAGGGTTCTGGCTAATGTTCTGGGCTCCAGCTGGGAAGAGGAACATAGGTGTTCAGAAGTCAGGAGGACTCCACCCAGACGTCAGAGGGGAGCCAGGTGGCTGTGCGTGCTGGAGGCAAACACAGGCCAAGCCAAGTTTGGTGGGCTGGAGGCACATGAGGAACAGCCTGGGAGGCTGGAAGGTTTGGAGAGGCTGAGAGAGCCACTGAACAGGACAACCTGAGAATGGTGAGACGATCTGTTTTCCAAGCACACTGTATGTTGTACTGCTGAAGTAAAGCTCTTTTCTGTTATGAAGGAAAATAAAACTGTCTTTTTTCTGTTAAAATGGCTCAGAGACTGGTCCTTAAGCGCTCACCATTTGTGCTATCTTCCCCAAACCTCACAATTTCTACTACTTTACAACACACACCGGGACCATTAAGGTAAACCGTTACCTAAATATTTGTACAGTATGCAGTCTCTGTTTTTTTTAAATATTTCCAGCATGTGTCAATGACCATTTGCTCATGGAAAATTCTAGAATGGCTCTACCCCGCATCTTGGAGGTGATATCAAATACACTATATTGCCAAAAGTATTGGGCCCCTCCCCCTCCAAATCATTGGATTCAGGTGTTGCGTGACATTTCCTGCCTACTAAATATTCCGCGGTCACCTGTTAGCCATATTATAACAAAGTGGAAGCAACTGGGAACAACAGCAACTCAGCCACGAAGTGTCACTCCAGGGGGGGGGGATGTTTGGCGGGGAGGGGGGCACATTGAGGAACCCAGCCTTGAGGCAGCAGAGAGAGTAACTTTGGCCCTGGAGGTGACCTAACTGTATTCAACCTCAGCAAATCAAAGTCAGGTCAACAAGCTAGTTCTGCCTGGCACTGGTTTGTAATTCCCAGGACTGGATGGACGGAATTACAAATTCTTTAACAGGTAAAAACACATTTTCCAAATGTGTATTTAGCTGTTTGCTTCCAGCTGATCAATAACTATGTGTGGTGCTCCAGGGGTTGTGGCAGGCAGACTGGCAACTTACTTTATACTAGACCATAAATTCTTTTGTTATATTGCTTGCATTTGAAGAGTACTAAAAGAACCTTTCAAGTTAATTAGAAATGCTCATAGTCATTTCCTTTCAAATTCATAGAGTTTATGTTCTCGTGGAGGATTTTGCCTTGATTGAATAATTTAGTGCATGAGAATGATGAAGATTGAAGGCATGCTGCTGGAGATGGTCTCCGGGTGAGGACATATTACTTGTCAGATTGCAGGAGACAGAGACTGCGCAAATGCTGCAAGAGGCCGAGGGTACACGAGACTGCTAGAGATCACAGCCAACAACAAATCCTTAAGGTTCACCACCTTCTTTGTTATTTTCATTTTAATTTTTTAATATTTATAATAAATATTTAATATTGATTATTATTATTATTACTATTTATTTTAAATAAAACTTTCTACAAGTTACTCTCCATGTCGCTAATGTCTGTGAAGGTTCTCCATTGTTCTCCATTCTCCATGCTAATGTACATTGAGCTGTAGGTATATTTTTTTTTTAGCAGAAGTTCCAAGACCTAAAATTATTTCAAGACTTACACTGGGAGTTAAGAGGTTGAGAAATCCTGACCTATAGAGTTGAATCTTTCATCAGATCTTTCAGCATAAAACCTACCCGGATGTGGTCAGACCCAAGCTCTCTTAACTGCAAACCCGCACTTCACTTTTTTAAGTTTTTTTTTCCAATTTAAATTGGACTTTTAAAAATATATTCATATTTGATTTGTTGGGGTGAAAAAAAAAAGCAATGAACATCTGAACTGACCCAGCATTACACGTCCAATAATTTGATTTCTCAAATAAGACCGGCTCTGACTGCGTAATGCGCTTACTTTCTTGGACAGCTGTTCTCCCATATCGTGTTAGGTTTATAAGCACCTGGGCTTTGGCCAATTTAACTGGAAGCTGAAGAACTGCCAACTGTGATGATGGCCGTATCGGCATGGGCTTGTGAGATTTTTATTATATTACGTCTTTTTTTTCTTTTTTCTAGAGGTTGATTTACTGAATTGCTAACATTACACGCTCAGGAAGGAAACAAATACGGATCATGGAATACCTTACATCTGGTGTGCCATTCGTGTGTTATTGTTTTGTTCTTTTTTTTTTGATAAGTAAGAAAAATAAAAGTTTCGGTTAGATCATATACTTAAAGGAGAACTATGAGGGGGGGGAGGGGGGTGCTTTTCACTCACCTCATAGTTCTAGCCGACCTGTGACAATGAGACTGTCAAAGGTCGGCTCAGTAGATCGGGAGGTGAGCGAACACATACCGGGTTTGCTCGCCTCTCGATCCTGTCACGGCTCTCTGCCGTGACAGGGGGAGGGGCTGGATTCCCCTCTCCCCGCTCTGATCTGCCAGCGCTGACTGGCGGAACGGACTGGGAGGGGGCGGGTACAGCTGGCTCTGCCTCTAGATAGGCAGAGCCAGCTGTCACTCACGCAGCTGGGCGGATCCCGTCATCTAAGTCGTGATCCGCTCCGGCTGCGGCGTCTCAGTATACCGCGAGCTGTAGCTCCCTATATACTGAGCTTAGGGTGACGGGAGGACGCTAGTTTGTGTCCTCCCGTTACCCGAAGGAGAACTATGGGGAAAAACACTGACCCCCATAGTTCTCCTTTAAAAACATCTCGCAATGCCAATCAGCAGCTTTTTCTGATGCAAAGAGTGAAAAGAGAGAGGGAGGCATAATCCTGCCCCTTTTACAAGGTCTTAGTAGGACCTCAGATTGAATACGCAGTTCGGTTTTGGGTGCCTGTTCACAAAAAGGATATTGTGGAACTGCCAGAGAGCAGAGAAGGGCAATTAAAATTAAAAGGCCCCTTTGAGATAGGAAGTGCGATCAGGTCCGCCTGTCAGTTTTTCAGGGCGGACCCAATTGGAGGCCCAATGTAGTTCTAGGACCAGCCGGACCTAAACGCATCGGTGTCAGTTTACATCCTCTCTAGCCAGGTCTGAAAGAACAAATGGAACAGCTTTCCATTTCACGGGACCTGATTGTGTCCATTGACTGACAAGGGGGCCGGTCATACTAGCCAGAAACAGATGTCACAGTTGTGAGGAGGGGATCTCTTGATCACATGGTGTGAAAGGGGCCTATGGAGGTATGAAGGAGCTCAGCTATTAGGTAAGATTAACTGAACTGAATGTATTCTCCCTTGAGAAGAGGCAATTGAGTGGGATATGATCGCCTTGTATCAATAATATATGTGTGGGGAAACTCGGCCGCCCGGCTGTGGTGAAGCTACAAATCTCATTAGGCTTTGCAAGACCCTGACAGCCACAGGTATGACTCCCCGCCAACCTGCCCTTATACAACCCAAATAAGGGACAGTAATTGACAGGCAGGATGCCTGGAACCCAAGTGGTGGGACCTATCCAAAAAAGGGCCTAAAATCCTGTTACAAGTTGATTTACGTGCTGCACCAGGCAACAGCTGGAAGTGTAAGCACTCTTTAATTGAGGCATTTGCTATGTAAATGTGGGATTAAGGAATCAGCCAATACAAAAGCTACTGTAGGTGCTTTTATTTGACTTAAGTACCTCTTCAATATTTGCTGCTAAACTCGTTCCAGTCTACTGTTCTATATAATTAGTCCCTTTACTTCCTTTTTCTGTAGACATCATAACTCATTTTCTTTTTTGTTATTTAGTTTTAACAAGCCCCATGTTTCTTACTCTGAAGTCTATCCTTCCTCAGGGTATTTGATGTTCCTTTGTGCCTCAAGAGTCGCATGTCTCTTAAAATGAAAAGTCTACGTGTTGTTTTGATAGACGAGTGCTATTACTCTCTCCGCAGGGTGGACTGATCGCGCTGCTTTTGCTGCTGCTCATTTTCTCCGTGGCACTACTCGCTCAGCGGCGCTGGCACAAGCGGAGGCGGATACCGCAGAAGAGCGCCAGCACCGAAGCCACTCACGAGATCCATTACATCCCGTCGGTGCTGCTGGGTCCACCGTCGCGAGACTTCCGCTCCTCCAAGTTGCAGCCTCACAGCTCGGTGCTGAGGATGTCCATCCGGGAGACCCCGATTCTGGATGATTATGACTGCGACGAGGAAGATACCCCGAGGTGTACGGGAAGAAGGGCTCAGGTGGAGCGCAAAAAGCAGGCCACCCAAGGGAAGGAGGACAAGAGGCACCTACAGAAAAGAGGTGAGCGGCAAAAGTGTATAATACTTGTGCAAAGAAATCTCATTCAAATGATTTGCAGCCGGAAAAGCCGGTAAGAGAATGTGGACTCATTTCGTGAGTGACTTATGAACAAAAATGGTTATGGTGCGCAGATCCTGAATAGCTAGGTGCCAACCAGTGGCGTCACAAGGGGGGTGCGGCCCTCACCCGGGTGACACCATTGGAGGGGTGACATCAAAATGACTCACAGTCATTTTGGTGTTACCCCCTTCTGAAAAGTCGGGCGCTCGGTCACGGACCGAACTCCTGACAGTATCAGGAGAGAGGAGGGGCCCCGGCGGCATACCTTATCCCGCAGGGTGACTGTCCCCTCCTCTCTCTGCCGGCGTCCATCACCAAGATGACCGCCGGCAGGTATCAGAATACTGCCGCGCGTGCGAGATGACGTCATCGCGCACGCGCATGGTGACGTCATGCTCATGCGCAGTGACGTCTCGTCGGGGGGACACTCGGTTACCGCTCCGGGTGTCACCCAGCCTCGGGACGCCCCTGGTGCCAACCCCTGGTTAGGTAACAATAACAAAGAAAGTTGCAGTTTTTTAGGAACCAAATGACAAGTCCAATAAGCTCCAAGCGAGAGTTTATATATAAAAAATATAGTTTATTGGAATCCATACAAAAAGTTAAAAGCATCAATGCATTCGAATATAAAAAGGATGCACAACTTAGAGAGAACCTCCTAACACCCCCTAAGTTCCAGATTAGAGGCTATATTAAATAGGATAAAAAATCTAAAGACATGATTGATAAATAATACAATGTATGAACAAATACAATTCATAAGGAGGAATAATCCATATTATGGTAGTGAAAAAACCTCTAGTGGAACCGAATTTGGTGGGTGGTAATGCAGTACTCGCAATTCTCTACGCGTTTCGCGCCGCAGGGCGCTACATCAGGAGAAGGAGGTGGTGTGAAATCAAGAGGTGCACATGCACAGGCGCCAAGCGGACCAGGGGAGGCACGTGTTCCCAGGGTGAAGGAGGATGGAGTTAACAAGACATAGGCTGTTCTTGTGGGGTACTGCTGATATAGTAGTGGGAGAGAGTACACTCATATCCAAGGTATATCCATCAGGAAGAAGAACATAACTTAGGAGAGGCTCGATAATATAATGAGACCTCAGGGCAGCCTCCTGACAGTCTCCAACACTTGAAGCCGCCGGTGCGTGTGGGGCCGTCTCCAGCCGTACACTGCGACGAGGTATTTCACCGGTATGAAGAGCCTTCTTCGTAGAACCCATTTAAAGGGAAACTTCAAGTCGATATAGAAGACGCACATTGTTGCAGGTAATGTAGGTATCTGAACTTGAATTGATTTCAGCCTCTCCTTACAGCAAGACCGGGAGAGAGGGAGGGGAAGGACTGGGAGCCAATTAGGGGTACCATATGCAAATGCACCTACAATGAATATGCTCATAGGAAGAGAGAACAAAGTGAGCAGAGGGAGTAGCTCATCAGTCTGCTTCTGCTCTTTCGCTGTACAGTCAGTAGGCAGGAAGTGGTGAGAGCACACACTGGGAAAGGGGGGGTTAGGGGATAAAGAAGAACTCCAGGAAAAAGGTATCTTAAAGGAGAACTATGGGGTTAAGGCTTTTCCCCATAGTTCTCCTTAGGGTAACGGGAGAACACAAACTAGCGTCCTCCCATCACCCTAGGCTCAGTATACCGCGAGCTGTAGCTCGCGGTATACTGAAGCTAAGGAGAACTAGGGGAAACAACCCTATCTCCATAGTTCTCCTTTAAGATGATCTCTTTTACATTTATATATTACAAATAAAAGAATGACACTAGGTAGGGATGCACAGATACCGATACTAGCATCAGTGCCGATACCGAGTATTTGGATGACTACACATACTCTCCCAAATGCTCCAATACCTTCCCCAATACAGGAACTTCCAGTCAGAGGGAGATCTCCCTTTGACTGCAAGTGCCGAGGGAGCATGGAGCTGGCTTCCTTTCCAATCAGGAAGCCGGGTGGCACGTAATGACCCGCCACCAGGCTTCCTGATTGGTCAGGAAGCCAGGCTGCCTAGGAATAAGTGCCTAGGAACAAGTGAAGCCGGCTTCCTAGCCAAT